ATTTGAAGGTTTTGTAAAAAAGTCAAAAACCATACATAAGCAAAAAAATATATTAAACACTCGAAAATGAAGTGAAATTATCTACCAACAATAAAATATCAGCAACAACAAAAGAACTACTGTGGTAACAGTATACTGAATTACGGTATGGTGCGAACGCGTTTCGCTACTGTGTTGACGAGTGTTCATGTACCTTTGACGCAATTAGACTATTGGAAGGATGATCTGACGCAATAAAAATTAAAGATGGCAGCCTCCAGAGAGAACTACGATGCTGGTAGTTCACATCATAATACAAATGAATTTGCATCACATGCTGGACAAGGAACAAAGAAACAAAAGCCATGTAGAGCATGTACAGATTTCAGGTCATTTGCAAAAGCTCGAGGTATGACTTTTTCAGTGTCGGAGAGTGACAAGGTGAGTTTAGTGACTTCTTGTTGCTGGCTTCGAATAGAAGGGATATGACCGGTTGAGCCGCCGACAAGTTGAGCCGCCGGTAATTTCTATGGAACGCCAAGCGTGTCTCTCAGTGAATGTAGTGCGTCTCTCAGTGAATGTAGTCGGCTTGCCGATGTCATCAGTGAATGAACCCCCCCGGATACCAGCTACATATTCATCCCACAGTCTTGTCAGTCGTTGATTTGCTCGTATTGCCGTTCGTGATGTATAATTGTGTAATTGAAAATTAGAATGTTAATATATTTATGTACATTTTTATAAAAATATATGAAGTTGTATAATTGCAAAATCGTATTAAAAATGTAATTTTATGTACATTTTTATACAAATAAATGAAGTTGTATAATTGCAAAATCGTATTAAAAATGTGTTTACGTTTGGCTTGCGGCGTATTTCAATTAACTTATTCGTTATTTGTACTATTTTGTTAAATTATTTAATTAAATTATTTATTATATATAAGTTTTTTTACTATCTGGCTAGCCGACTGAATTAGACAGATGACTATAAACAATAAATTTAAATGTGTTAGGCCTATGTTAATATACAGTATTTACTATGGTTTTGTAATTTATATACTTTTTATTTTTGTACTATTTGTTAAACTTATATATAATAAATGATAAGAATGTATGGAGTTTTTTTTTTACTATCTGGCAAGCTGACTGAGCAAATACTCACAAAATTTAAATTAAAACGATAGAAAGAACAAGTAAATAAATTGAAATACATCCCAAAAATATTTAATAAATCAGTGCAAAAACCGAGAATTAAATAATTGAGTAAATAAACTGAAATACATCCCAAACAACAGTACAGTACCAAGAATGAAAGTTAATTGAAATACGCCGCAATTAACGCACTACATTCACTGAGAGACGCGCTTGGCGTTCCATAGAAATGACTTGCGGCTCAACTTGTCGGCGGCTCAACTGGTCATAATCCGAATAGAATAGGCTTGGTTAGCTTAGGCCTAGTAGTAGAGAGGGAGCCTGGCCCTCTTTATAGTTTAGGTAGGCTACTCTACTAGTAGGGTAGCTAAGTAGGAGGCCGCCTTATCTAGGCCTACGCCAATTTGCAGGCGGGAGATTTTGTTGTAAAACCCCCTCCCACTATACTAAAATAGATTTAAGAATCCGCATTATTTTTTCTGAGAATGATTCACTCACATGAGCCGAGCATGTGGCGGTTGGTAACTGTGTGTTCTTTGATCTTATCCGACAACATTGACAGTGCTTTGTAAAAGAACGACATATTCAGTGTTAATGCAGCTAGTTTTACCTAATTGCTGAATGTATGAGCCTTGGCGTGTATAGTGTGGATGTGCTGTGCGCATAGCAACGACAGATTACTTAAAAGGTCTAAGGCCTACCCTAACCATGGAGGTTTCAAATTACCTAACTTTGATTAGCTTCTGTGTCTTCCTTAAGTATGACAGCTCTATGCTTCGGAAGTAAATAAACTAACAAAATGACATAAAAAAAAATAAAATGAAGAAATAGGAAATAGATTTCAAAAGGATTTTAGGTAGGTTGGCCCAGGCTTAATATAACTAAGAAGCATGGTCACTTCCATATTAGGTAGGTACCTAATCGTGACATTACACTTCCTTGTTTTGGTCATTGTTCAATGGTGGGCTTACACTGCCTTGTCAGGATGTTGGGTTTTTAAAAAATATTTAGAATATTTCTGATATTCAAATAATTGATTGATATGCATTAATATACAGATTAAAGGTCAAAGAAAGATAATTTCTGTAAGTTATTTCTCAACACTATGTTTATTCTTTTTTCAGATGAGAAATGTCCAAGAAGCAGTAGATCCTGAATGTCCATTGGACCGAGAAGAGCTGGGCTCCAATACCTGGTCATTCCTACACACGATGGCAGCATATTACCCAGACAACCCAAGTACAACTCAACAAAGCGAGATGAAGCAATTTATCCACCTCTTCTCCAAGTTTTTCCCATGTAACGAGTGTGCTGAAGATTTAAGAGAGAAGTATGTAAAAAGTTTTCAACAAAATTTTTGCCTATTAGATGCAATCTTATTTTAAAATGTTTTTGTATATTACCGTATATAAAATCATCATGTGGTTCAATTAGACCATACAAATGTTCAAATCTGGAAATATCCTAATTTATTATACTTCTTTCATTCCATTCCAGTAGCATTATAGTTTGACTGTCACAATGTTGAGAATAGGTATTATATAATATTTATAAAATATAAGATATATAAATGAACAGAATCACATCCAATACATTTCTGGTGCAGTTTATGTGAAAAAAATCTATATGCTTCATTAATTGGGGCTCTCCATTTAGCAGCAGATAATCTTAGTTTGGTTCCTTTATCTTAAAAGAAATCTTGACTTCAATTTTCCACTTGCATTTCTCAGCTAGAGTACACCACTCTTGATGTGACACCATCAATAATAATATCCTTTATCAAGTTCAAATTTGCCTAGTTTTTCAATAAGTGATTGTGAATCTTGTGGTTTGTAAAGTAGGAGCTTTACGAGTTTGTGTGATGTTTTCAATTGTTCATCAATGCACAGAGTTGCAGGCAGTGTGTTGAAATTTCAGAAGTGTTGAAAAATATTCTGTGCAATATCACTGCAGTGTTCCATATGAGCACAGTTCAGTTCTATATTCTTAGCTAACTTTTTCTAGAAATAAATTTCAACTGCTGTATTTTTTGCCTTATAAATCGATTGATTGATTCATTCATTCATTGGAAGTTTTTTTACCTCTTAAGTACTGGAAGTTTTATAGTCCTCAATTAGAAAAATTATTATTATAGAGAATCATTAGAAAGATGACCGTCTTTATTCACTACGCAAGTTCTTAAATTATCTGCCAGCCAGTGTAGGGTCTATGTGAAGAATAGTGTGTCGCTAGGGTCCCATTTTCTTTTGAAAATGCGCATTGAAAGGCAGTATGTGACATCATGCTTTTAATTTTCCAGGTTGAAGACCAATGAACCAGATACAAGAACTCAACACAAATTATCACAATGGTTCTGCGGACTACACAACGACGTCAACAGACGATTAGGAAAACCACAGTTTGATTGTACACAGGTCAACGAACGGTGGCGTGACGGATGGAAAGACGGATCATGTGATTGACGACTGACAAGCTCTCTCATTGGCCGAGACAATGCAATCCTAACAAATTGACAGATGGGTTTATATATATTAAAATCATTGGTTTAAAAAATCAGATTCTATAAGTATTCATATATTTTGTTCATGGTGAAATTACTTTAATACATAAATATATTGAATATCAATATACTATATTTAAATATTAGTAATACTGTAGCTATAATAGTTTTCATACCAATATGTTTTTATTATCATCAGCAATAAGACTTTAAAAATTGGGGATATTTTAGTGCCAGTTGATCCTGAAACTAAGAATATTTACTGTTGTCTGACCAGGATAAGAAAATTACCATTAATCATGTAAACTCATCTAACCAATGCCAGCATAAAAAAAACTGGTGTTAAATTGTAAATGATCAAGATGATACTAAAACATTTTGTTACAATATCGATTATGTAATATGATCTGTAGGGTTTTCATATTAAATTACTTTGTAATGCTAAAACCATTATAAAATTATTTTTTAATAAAGTTTTTAGATTGAATTTAAAGATTTGTTAAATCTGTCTTCCGACTATTGGTTTTTTGCTAATTTAGTGGCGGATCCAAGAATTTAAAATTGATGTCCAGGGAAACGGACGGAGCATCCAATCTCAGCCCCTCTGCTGTCTATTCCTAAAGATACACACTTACTAGAATAAATTGTAACATAAGAAGGCAATTCTTTGCTCCTTCTTAACCTACAGTAAAGTTATTAGAATGTATGTTCTACATCTGGTAGACCAATGAATCTATATTGCAATCATATCAAAGATATCCTTCTTACATTTTAATTATTGTAAAATAAAAACACTCACAAAAGTTCCCATGTTCAGGTACCCCTCAGTGGGGATGTTAAAAACGATTTCCCATATAAATTCTTTAAGAATCTCTAATGTGTACTATAGAGGTTACATTTCATGTTTGTGCGTCTCCTGATAAAGTCCAATGTGTGGATGAAAGCCAGAGCTAATAAATATCAGGCCAAAAAAAAAATATTAAAATATTTGTTTGCCCTCCTCCGCCTGCCCCTACCTCACTTTAAAAAAAATAGGGGTGGAAAAACAAAAACTTAAAGTGAGTGAGTTTATCTTTATTTTTTGCCCGATGCCCTACAAATTAGTTTAAAGTTGTTGTCTGATGTAAAATATTGCCATTCTAGGCCTCTGTGGGTTATTTTTATTCCATCTGATGAGTATCTTAAAATAAAATAAAAAAATTTCCACTCGCCCCTTTTTATAATTTTGAAAAAAGAAGGGCAAACAAACAATTAATTTTTTTTAGGCCTTGTAAATGTCTCCCTCCAATTAAAGAACACTTTTGGTACTGCACTGTACTGACTGCATAGCACACATGTTCAACAAAAAACATTTGAGATGAAATCATATTTTATGATAAATTTTATTGCTTTTTCATCTACATAGCAAAAACCACTGTTTAAAAAAATATTGATTTAGTTGTAGACAATAATTAAAGAATAATCAAATACATTATTCTATATCAAATTCTTTCACTTCTTAATACTTGACAAGAGCTATGAATTTTAAGCCTGTAAGTGCAGAAAGTTGAAACACAGAACAGTTTTAAACGTGACCTTAGCAACAATATCCAAGGGGTGGAGCTTAGTGCAAAGATCCACTGAATCGCATACTAATTAATCTGGCAACATCTTTAAATTAATCAAGTGGCGCATTGTGGGTCGACCATGAGGACAGTTCTGAAAGAGAACAGGAGAAAGGTTTTTTTGATGTATTGCATTCAGATTGTATTATTATGCTAAGATTGTAGTGATAAACTGAAGTTACTTTTACAAAACTGAAATAAACTATGAATAACTGACCATATAGATACTGAACATTAAATTTTAAAAAGTTACAATAATACATTCCCTCTGGTTCCTTTTACTCTTCAAACATTTCTTGGAATGGAATAGGTGCACTATATAAATCTTTTTTATTTATTTATACTATATTCCTGCATATTGCACTTGATTAAAGTATCAGGTCTATGTTTTAATGCTTTATGAGAATATGAAACTCACCCATGGTTGGTCAATTTCTCCCATGTGACGAACAAGCTGTAGAAAAAGAGAGAATTTTAAAACTTAAGGGGGAATTTATTTTTAGTTGTGGCAACCATAATTATGATGCAGGGGGCCGATGTTCCCAACGAGAGAAATGCGGGTGTGGTTGGGTTTTGCTCAAAATTTCTCAAAAGTGTTTTGGGGGAAAATATGACTAATTTAGGGGTTTCAAATTTAGAATTTTATATGTAGAAAATTTATATAAAATTTGTTTCTCCCGGACTTGGGCCCTTGTTCCCAGCCACCACCACCACCACCCTTATTATGTCCTGTAATTTCGATCACTTTTCATTTATGTATACAACTACCCTCTACTATAAGTTTTGAATCATTCTTCTGCAGTCAGTCAGTATACACAGCCTGGTTAAATTTAAGGGTTTTTAAAAAAAATACAGTTTATAGTTCACTTAGTATTTCATACAATTCACAAGTTTGTGTAATCATTTTAAAATTCTTTACATTTACCTTCTTCATATCGGATTGATTGAGCGCAGTTCCTATCATCACTGAACTTCGACAGGCTCTGGAGGCAAACATCTGCCGAACACGTGAAGGACGGCACATAGTTCCCTAAAATAATAACCAAAACAACAATAAAGTCTGCTGCCATTTATTGACTTTTGACCTCTGTGTATTAACTACAATTATTAACATCATACATTGTCATCTTGTATGAATACTGCCATCTAGTGATAATAATTAGATATTTATAATATACTCACTGGTGCATCCATTAGCATGAAGATCATCTCATTAATGTCATCTGTGCCGAATGTCCAGTTTTTGCTGATTGGTAATGAAACCAACTTAACTTTCTGTGTTAATGGTGCTAAAAATATAAAATTAGGAAAATAAGAATTTAATCAACTGAATTGTTTACTTAAAGTCATAATTAAACAATGTCATAAACAGTGAAGAGTGGTAAGATCAACAATAAAAGAAGTGATAGCAAGAATTTTATTTTTGGTCCGGTTATGAACTTCATGTTTCCTTGTTGTCCACACTATCAAATTTTCTTTGACAAAAAATACCTGTTGTATGGCCATGTATAGTCATGATGTGCCTATATATGGTCATAATGTGATGTCATCATGACATATTTAGGTATGTTACTTGTTTTTTTTAAATAAAATTTAACAGTCTGGACAGTAATGTTACATTAATATGAATACAACAATAATTGATATACTCACCATCTTCTGATATCTCAAATTCAAAGCCATTCTTTCGAAATATATCAATATTATCCATAAGTATAGACTCATTTACAGCTGTTAGTTCAAGCCTCATGGGTCTGGAATAAAAACAAAATCAAACATTTAGTTAAATGTGTTTGTACATTATGAACCATTAAAAAAATATAGTTGACAGATTTGGCAAAATATTTTGAAGTGAAAAAAAACGGATGATTTCCTTCCAAGCAGCATGGACGATTAAAATGCTCCCTAACATAGTTACCAACCATCTTGCATTGTGCGGGACGGTCCCACTTTTCAAAGTGATTTTGAGTAAAACGCATTTTGCAGAAACACATGCCTGATCATAAATTTGTCAAGCACTTAGCACAAGTCTATGCGTGATAACGAATTATCACAAATTCAGTGGAAAATATACTTAAAATTAGAAGAAATTTGTTTTATTAATGATATAAAAACGGTCATGCAGTAAAAGACATTAGAGAGCTTTCGTTATCTCATTCGAGAATCAATTCACCGACAAAATTTCTCTTTCTCGACCAAAGCAACCCAGCCAACCATGCACTTAGTAGAATCTAAGAGGTGCGTGCAGGCTTGCGCGTTCATTGTCACAGCCAACTGTTGATTATGTGACTGAAACTCGGACCCAGCCAGGGGTCCAGGGGCGTACTAGAAAACTCAGATCTGAGTTTTCTAGACACCCCAGAAATCATATGTGTTATATTAATTACTTAATACATTAATTTTTCTTACTGTATTAGCTTCTGGCTTTGTAGAGTAGTTGTTCTTTGAAATGTTTCAAAGTTGAACTTTTCATCGGTTGCATGCTAAAGAAAAAATTTAGTTCCATTAAAACATTAGTAGAAAGTATATAAAAATTTACATACAAAAATGTGCAACAAAGCATGCAGAAATAATGCCGAATGTTTAAAATTGATAAAATTAAAATGTTTGCTTGCCAAACTTTTATCACTTCAATATTTTTATACAGTATATTTACAGAATTTTTTCATATGCTTGTGGTTCTTAAAAATCATTCACTAACCAATTTCAAGGCCCAGTCCAGACTATCAAATTCATGATGACATCATATCGTAGAACAGTTTTTTTGTAAAAGAATATTTTATAGTGTGGAGTATAACTAACCTGGTCAATAATGAAAAGGTCACTCTTCAGCTTTGCAATAATGAACCCCAGATTAAACTGACCAAGGATCTCCATTTTGCTAAACATGTCTTTGCTATTGAGGAGAAAACGAATGAAAAGAAACATCCAGATATATGGTTGATAGTCTGTAAATAATATGATTACCTTGATGAAACAACTAGAGCCAATCTTTTTAAAGGAAAGTTCCTCTTTGGACACTTAGCAATAGTCGAATAATCGGGAAATTTCTTTCTTTTTTACTTTGTTTATGCAATGCCCTATTTGAGGTGTGCCATCCTAAAGCCAGTGTACTGTGGCTAAATATTAAGCTGAGTAATCAGCATATGAATTGGCAGTATGGTATACTTTAGCACAGAGAAGCCACAATACTTTAAATCACAGGTGGGCAAAGTGCGGCATATTTACCTAATATGACGAACAAGCTCACTTTCAGCGGCGGTGTTATCAGCTGGAGTGATTGAAGCATGGAATGATCCAACATTGGCATCAGATCCCGAAACAACTTCTATAAAATGAAACAAAATATCATAAGATATTAACAATAAAAATAATCCAGGATTAATGTAGCACTCAATAAAATAGTATTATAATAAAAATGAATATTAATTATATAAGTAAACAATTCAATTAATCTTAGGTGATTAAGCACATAATTCTATAATGACTGAAATAATTGCAAAATAATAATAACAACAATAATAATAATGATAATAGTAATTGATTATTACCTTCTGTAACAAGACATTTTTTAAGACCTTCAAAACTAAACGGAATGGTTACATTCTTTTTCAAAACTGTGGATGCTTCATCGACCTTGTATAAACAGAAAACAATGGGAATAAGATAGTAGAAAATATATAAAATGAAACAAAATATCATAAGATATTAACAATAAAAATAATCCAGGATTAATGTAGCACTCAATAAAATAGTATTATAATAAAAATAAATATTAATTATATAAGTAAACAATTCAATTAATTTTAGGTGATTAAGCACATAATTCTATAATGATTGAAATAATTGCAAAATAATAACGACAATAATAATAATGATAATAGTAATTGATTATTACCTTCTGTAACAAGACATTTTTTAAGACCTTCAAAACTAAACGGAATGGTTACATTCTTTTTCAAAACTGTGGATGCTTCATCGACCTTGTATAAACAGAAAACAATGGGAATAAGATAGTAGAAAATATATAAATTCATAAATGGTAATGTACAATCATGTAAAACTCACATTAATAATGCTTTTATTACATTTGCATTTAAATATAGTTTATTAATAATCATTAAAATTATATACTTACATTTATATATAGTTTATAATAATCATTGATATTATATACTTACATATATATCTAGTTTTTGTTCACTAATTCCCCTGTTATCAACAGCTTCAAATGAATCTTCACTTTCTAACTTAACATCAGTAGATGGTCTTTCTAGATCTCCACTTCCACTGTGATCACCATCTAACACTGGTGAATCATGAAACCTGTCTGTCAAGGAACTTTGTGAACTCTCTTGTTTGAGCTCTTCGAAACTGTTAAAGTTCTCTACTTTTATGATGCATGATTGTCCTGATGTTGGTAATGAAATCTCATGATTGCCTTTACCATCTGCTGTTTCATAGGATTCCTTTCCATCAGTTTTTCCATTAAATTCCTCATTGTTGGTTTCAATAACATCTAAAACTGTATTGTCCTTTGGGTTGATATCAAGAATATCAGCTTTCTCTGGACTGCCTGTTGCATCATCCTCACTGGTCTCATTGTCAGATTGTGGTGGTAACCGTGTGAAGAAATTATCAAGTTTGGGACCTCCATAAATGAAATGAACATTACATACTTTATTAAATTCTATTTATATATATTCTATTAAAATTGTTACTTATTTTTAACATTTGTTACTCTTATATATCATTTGATATACACATTTTTAGAAATTAAGAAGCGTTGAATAACTTACATTTAGATTTCTTTTCAGGTGTGTCATTTTTCTCTGCATCTGGATGAGAGAAAGATCTGGAATTGAAAAAAATAAATCAAGTTATATTAAGTACATTAAGTACTGTAAAATTAAATTAACTCCCCTGTTATAAATTGAACAGTCAATCTCCAGCTTTTTATGAAATTGTACTGCATTCTTCAACATGCTCATGGGCCATGCTGTAATTCTTTTCCAAACGATATCGCAAAGGGAGTAGACGGAAGGAATGGAACCTGGGACACAAATACCTTCATAATATATACAGTGGTTAACACCAGTTTTAAACAACTGAGCTACACTTCAAAGGAATTTCTAAATAATGTGACACACTAAGTAGTGAGTTGTCACTTGTAAAATAAACAGCAAAGAATAAACACTAACTCATTACGTTAAGATTCCCTTTATTCTTTTATTCTCACATTGTTGTAAAGTCATCCTGAAACACTATAAATAAAACCTAAACCATATTCAATACCTTTTCAAATTAGATAAAGTAGCTTTGGTAACCTTTGACATTGGTTTTTCTCCAGATCTTACAATTTCCACTGAATCACATTTCATTCTACTAGTAAAACTACTTGGTAATAAATCTGAAAAGCAAAGAAATAGTACTATTAACTTGCAAATAGTATTCTAGAGACTGCAACACAAAATGGTTTGGCCAATTACACGAACTCTAGTGTGTGGATATATAGTTTAGACACTTGATGTCCAATCTCAGAGTATTCAAATCCTGTACAATTTTAGGATTTCTTGTCACAAATTAAAACCAAATCAACTCCCTAAGTTTGTGATTAGAGTTTGTATATAGTGCATGATGAACTCCTTAAGCTCCTGATATAATCAGTCAGTAGAGCAATAATTTCAAGACATGAAAAAAACTGCTGCAGTATCTTTTCATCTTGTAACTGAATGAGAATTAAAATAATATACAACTATACATTTTTACTTGTAGTTCTGTACCTCAATGATCATATTAGAAAGCATCAGTTGTTAATTACATGACCTTGTTAAATGTTGGAACATGTGAACTAAGTTTTCTCTAAAGGTAACTCACTAGATTTCATAGGCTGTTTTAGTTGGTAGGTACCGGACAGTGGTTCAAATAGTTTTACAAGTGAAGTCTGCAAATATAAAGTCAAATTCTGTTAGTATACAAAATACTATGTATACTAGTATAGTGCAAACTATGACAATCGTTTACACAGTGATTTGATGTCATGAGGATGAAGATTACTTTAAAAAAAGTTAGAATTCGATTAGAATTTTATATAAGTCAATGTTAATAGCGTCAGTTGTAATTCAATTACAACTTGAGTAAAATTTAGATATTTTAATAGCGTAATGCTTTGAGTACTAGTAATAAATCAAAGAGTTATACTTTTGTCAGGTGACTTTAATTTTAACCATTTGTGTATGATGACTGACCCAGAAGTTAAATCTACTTAGGGCTATGTTCACACACGACAGCTAATGGCTAGCAGGATCCGGAAACTTGCTGACATTTAGCTGCTGTGCGTTCATACCAGAAATCTCGATCTGGATACCAAGAACATGATCATTGAATCACTGGCCAATAGGAAACTGGAAATTGGAAACGCGTATGTGTGATTGGTTGATGATAGAAACGCGCGCAACTTGCTAACCGATAGCGCTCGCTAATTGTTAGCGTATCCAGATCCTGGTAACAGTTAGCGCTAACTGATTGAGCGTTCACACATGGGTGCTAACGGTCAGCGCTAACGGTTAGCTTCCAAACCGGATACTAGGGCTCTCCTGTGAACCTGACCTATGTTGAAGTGCCTTCAGTAAGCTGGTACATAATCTAGTATAACCGAGTTAAAAATCATCATTGTGTTAAAACTGTTTATAGTAACATTACCTATATATTTATTATTACCTTAATGACTGCCAACAAAGTCTTTTCTTCTTGTACAAGTATTTTTCGTTTATCTGGTGTTAAATTTACATCAACATAATCTGAAATGAAAAATGTCTGAATGCATAAATCAACACAGTATTACCAAAATACACCTACACATTTTTAAAGAAATAACAATTGCATGATCAGGTTTTCTACTGAGAGTTTGGGGTTTAAAAGCTCACAGAGACAATATGCTTGTGTATTTGGTCAAGCTACTTTAACAAAATTTGTCTCAATCCATGGATATAGTAGGACTAGACTGAATATTAATGACTACAAATGCTCAAGGCAGGAAAAAAAAAAAAGAACTGCATATCCTATGGATAATAGTTTTCTCAATCAATCTGGTAATTTATATAGCACTTAGCTGACTACTTTCTTACACTTATTACCTTTTTGTAAAGTTATGTTGAGTACTACCATCGGATATTGATGCCTGTTGTACATATGGTAAACTTCATTTACAAGCTTTGATACCTGAAAATAATACAAAAAATAGTACACTACATAATATAAAGTTATGCACCTTTATATTAGTTTGAGGACATTGTATATTGAACTAACATGATAAGACAGCAATAAACACTGCAGTACCCGCTGCTTACTTGGACTCGAATTCAACCCTGGCCATCAGGCGCAAGCTCGGTGGTCTAGAGGTATGATGCCAGGCTAGTGATCTGGAGATCGTGGGTTCGAGTCCCACCCGAGAACAACTTGCGATTTTTTTCGCAGTTGTTTTCAAATGTACTGAGTATTCGGTACATTTCCACGTCAGGGCAGAATTACACCTATACATGTTTCTCCTGACGCAAATCCAGTTATTGTCTATTATTCCATCACGACAATAACAATTACTATCAATAAACAATTACAAAAAATGGTCTTGTCTATAAATCATATACAGTAAATGCATCATTCAGTTTGTTCACAAATCATGACTCCACAGTAGATAGCAGCCATTTTAATAATCTGACCTTTGGAAAATCACATGGTCTGCTATTTATGAAGTAGTATTGTCTGTCTGCACTGCTTCTACCGGACCCATGTTCACAGCTTGATATATAACCTGAGATGCTGAAGTGAATGAAAAAAAGTATTAAAATATCAATGTTTATCTAATTCATTATGCCATTTGGCCTACTGTCTCATTCTGGTAATGAAATAAAAAAAATGTATTATTATTATTTGTGAATCTTATTTATATATTTATTTATTTTTTAAATAGATGGGGTGTAAAATTCAATAATCTAGATGTTCAAAATAAATTGGTAAGTAAATGCAAGCACTGACACCCCACCCCCTGCCCCACTATTTGGACTTAAGTCATAATCCAAAGACAAATGTACAGAAGGAAGAGAACTTTAATTTCCTAGGCTAGTTGTAAATATATTATCTATATAATCAACAAATATATATATACTGGTATATTATATATATAATCAACAAATAAATAATGGACATTATATAATAAATAATGGACATTATAATGTTTACTGTATAATGTAATTTTTACATCAAAAAAGAAAAAAAAACACTAAATAAACACTAACCTGAATACACTTTTATCTTGTGAGCATATTTTGACACCGAATTCTTCACAACAATCTATAGAGGGCTCACTTTGTTTTAGATCTAACAAGTTTTGTAAGGCCTTTGGTCCATAGATGTTACTAATGTTGTCACGAATACAACTGTTATTGTGGGTCTGGGCTACAACACTTTTCCTCCTAAAATTTAAAACAAAAAGTATTATAACTCATTGGTCTTAGTTGAGTATCTAAATACCTGTTCAGATAATCATATTATATTTCACAAAAACATTTGACATATGTCCAAATATGGTCATAACATCACATCATGACCATATATAGGCACATCATCACCATATATAGGCACATCATGTCTATATATGGGCATACAACAGTTTTTTTTATGGTCATGATGACATCACATCATCACCATATATAGGCACATCATGACTATATATGGGCATACCAGAGTGTTTTGTTAAAGAAAATTTGATAGTATAGACAGCGATTAAGAAATGTAGTCTGTGCCCATTGGGATGCCTGGTGGTAATCTGTGCAGTAGACTGGAAGAAGAATGTCTGCATTATTTAACATTCACATGAGTCATGTTGTGGTGTACATGGAACCAATGGCTAAACATCTCTCCAAATTGCCATGCTATAACCTGTATTTTAAAACGAGTGCAGCTTGGTAGAAGAGTAACATGTACAAAAATCACTTTATTATGCAGTGGCGTGTCTACACACCATGTGACTATCAATAGTTTACAATGTATTACCATGGAAAAGATTAATTAATAATTAAGTGTCAAGCAAACTGAACAATAACCAATCAGTACTGAGCCAGGAATATGCACGTCTACTAAGGCGACTTTTATATCTTGTTTAGCGTACCCACCGACTGCAAAGATTGATGATTTCAAATAAAAATAATATTCTATTTTTGGACAATTAGCGCACCCGCCACCACGAAAAAGTGGATATTTCAGAAAAAAAAAAGTTTTTCTTTATTTTTAATACTCTCTCCACTGCCTTGAAATCTCCAAAGATAAGATAGTATATTTCTTCCTAAATATATTAATTTGTAGCATTTAACCATCTTATTTTACATTCACCAATCAAATTTCATTTTTATTTCCTCCCACATTTGGATGTTTTTGGAAAAGCTCTTTGTTAAATTAGAAAACAAAATTATATTTTTATTCTACCCTCTTCCGATGATCTTTAAAAAAATAAGTACGCGAAACAAGGAATAAAAATGTCTTGAATAATTTGTCCCACAAAATTATGAGGCATGTCGTGGCAAAATGGTTAAGTTGTCGCACAGGCCAGTATTGAGTAAATGAACTATCAAATATGGGAGCTCAAAAAATTGCCTAAAAATTCAAATTTGTTTTTCATTATAGATCAAAAGTTTAATGTCTTATTAATCATGTACCAAAGTATTAGTTCTGGAAGTGGTCAACAAATTGTTTATTTAATGTTATTTTGATAGCTCATTCTATTAAACAACGTATACAC